AGGGCTCTCTGCTTGGGAGCTGTGGCTTCTTTCTGGTTCGCTTGTCTTGTGCCGCTGCTGCACTTAGCTTGTAGAGTTCAGAGCAAGAGTACGCTTCTGTTTGAAACTTTTGAGTTAAAAATAGGTTGTCAGGGATGAAAATTTCGTGTGAGTGTGTTTAGGCTGTGTGGAAGCTGCAGGTTAGCTGATTGCCTGCTGTACTGTTCTCTTCTGGTAAACCTGACAGGAGAGCTGTGGTGGGGCAGCTACCACCTACTTGCCATGGAAGGTGTAGTGGGGTTTATGTGGGGGTGCTTGGCCCTAAAGGCCAGGTTTACATCGGCTTGTTTTGGTCCACTGATTTCCTGGCAGTTTTCTCATGATGGCTTACGTGGGTTGGAGTTGACTAAAATTTCCTGGGAAAGCGAACACGTAAATCCGAAGGGGCTGGAGGAAAGCTTGTTAAGCATCTTTCAGGTAATACTTCACTGTCAATAGCAATTGTGTGTATTTATTGTAATTAGTTCACTTGCAAGCTGTGAGGAGATCTGAATAGCCTACCTGACTATGGGGATGGGAGGCTTTTGTTGTTTCTGACCTAACTGCAACTGTAATACATGCCAGGTACCTACAAGCTATTTGTACCTCAGCAGATGTTAGTAGGCTGCTGTTGGTGCTGTCTAGGGTGATCTGGCTATTATTTTTGCTGTGGAAACACCCTGAGACTTTAACGAGACTAAAAGGACCTTTTAGGTGAAGGGGGATCATACTCAGTTTGGGGAGTTTGTAGACCCTTGCTGGAGACTCTCATGAGTAGAAAACCTCCAGGGGAAACAGGAATGTCAGTTATTGAGCAGTTCGGCCTGTAAAACTACTGGCTTGGTGTCTTAAGTGTTGTATAACTGCACAGAAACCAGTATTGTTAACGAAGGTGGTTGGTTTGTAGACCAGCTCTTCTACTTGGCGTGAGGTTTATCTGTGGAGTCTTCAAGCAGTTATGATTCAACTGCGGACGGCTTTCCTGCCTTTGCGGCTTGCAGACAGGGACACAGATCAAACTGACAGGCTGAGCCTTGAAGAGGGAAGAATGGAAGCGGCCTCAATTATGAAAGTGTGAACCTAAATATCAAGTCAAACTGGACAGAACAGGGGCCTCAGCTGCCAGTAGCAGGCTGGCACTTCTAGGGACAGGAAACCTTGCTGCAGGAACAGTGTTCCTCATTTACATATTAATATAGCTTATACCATTTGAATTAGACTTCAGGTTGCTGAGGGCGTTTTTGCTTTTAAGTGACTTCAAGCCAGGCTTGTTGCTCTAGAAGTTAAAATGATCAGCTGTCTAGACAACAGCGAACTACACCTTGTTTCTTTGTGCAGGCTCTCTTCTTGTCACTAGAAATACAGGGTTATGAAGTAGTTGGATCAAGTTGTGTCCTATTGTGATGATGGCCTATATGCATAGTGGTCTGCGTAAACTATTAATACTCCAAATAATTTCATTATGTCTGCAGAGCACAATAGAAGAATTCTAGAGTATGGTAAATAGCTCTACTGTTCTTAAGACCTGTTCAAACTCAGCTGGTTAACTGTTACTTCTGAAGAGCACAGTGTTGAGCTGACACAAGACTTGCTTTATGGACAGCAGTAGAAGGATGGTTTCTTCAGAGAAGCAGTGTTTTGCCAACTTGCTCTCAGTGTGTTGAGCCTTGACTGCTGCATGGAGCAGCTACAGAGCTTATGACCTGTAGTCAGTGTCTGGGTTTAGCTTGTTCTCCCCAGGGAAAGGAAGATGATTGCCCTTGCCTAAATCCAAAGGCTACTAAGTCACCAGCCTTTTAAACCACACTCTTCTAGAGGTTTGTCTTAATTGAGATAATGAGGGGCAACAGTAAGCGGCAGAACAAATAACCTGACTCTTGCGGACTATCCTGCTTTCACTCCCTCAGCGCACTCGGCATCTCTTTCAAAGTAGGAGAACTGGAAATGAACTATCTTCTGCTGAAGACAGTACTGCAGGTTATTTGGGAGAAACAAGTATGCTAACTGGGGTAGCAAGCTGTCTTGCCTCAGCAAGTGCCTAGGAGTATCTAGTGAGTTATAATGCCTTTCATCACTGATGCAAATGGCGAGTTTAGAGCGATGGAAGTTGTTAGCCTGGTATCTGAGTTGATATAAAACTAGTGGATGGCTTCACTCAGTGTGAGCTCCATGTTCTTTACGGGTCTTTTTGCTTGAACCTGTACGGTTTCACTCGAGTGTCTTACGCTGTGAAATGCTGCAGTCCTTCAAGTCTGCTCTTCATCTGTGACGGCGCTCTCGGCTCACCTGCTCATCCTGCTTTTGGTCTGCTTTGTGCATGACTTGGGGGTGGCGGAGTTGTGCCTAATGAGCTTCTAAGCTTGCTGCCTTTGTGCTGGGTGTGTAATACCCAGCTGCAAGCTCACTTGCATCCTGTGTTTCCTGGTCACAGATTCTCCTGCAGTGGCCATCCTCCTTCCCCTCACAAATTCTTTAATTCAATTTTCACAGAATCTAGCTTTTTAGTATTTCTAGACTGAGTTCTCGTCCGTTTTTTCAGTTGAACCTGTGGTTAAACCCAAGCCAACAAAGAGGGGGGGTGAGAAGAATGCCGGCAAGTCAAGAAGGAAGAAAAACAAAGGGAAAAACAAAAAGAAAGGGACTCCCTGTGAAATGGAATACAAAAACTTCTGCATCCATGGTGAATGCATATACCTAGAACATCTCCAGATGGTGACCTGCAAGTAAGTCACTTGTACCTTGTGAGATAGGTGTGATTGGCATGAGCCGGTGGAGTATGAGAGCTCAGAGGAAAAATCAGTGTCAACTTGGCATAGATCCATCTCCTGTATTTTGACTGAGAATCTTTCTGCCATGTAAATTAAGCCATGATGGAATCTGAGATGCATAACAAGCCACTGAACTCATCAGTTGGTCATAAACTCAAACCAAAAGAATGAAAAGGTGTGTCTTCCTGGAACATCACACCCAAACTAATCTTGACTTGTTGAAATGCTGACAAACCTTGTGCTAGAGCGGTGACTGCATTTCATGAACATGCTCGAAAGGGAGCATCTTGAGATTCATGGGAAACTCTGAAGATGTCTAAGTCAGGTTTTCATGTGTGTGGGTGTCCTTGGCTCCATATGGCACCAGAGCTGATAAGAACTTGTGTTAATGTTTACCTGCAGGTGTCATCAGGATTTTTTTGGCGAGCGCTGTGGTGAACAGTTCATGAAGACTCAGAAGAAGAATGATGTGGCAGACTACTCGAAGACTGTGTTGGTGGTGGTAGCTGTTCTGCTCTCGAGCATCAGCTTCATTACTGTACTTATAATTGTGATAGTGCAGTAAGTATTTTACTCTTTGGTGTCCGTCTAGCTTAAGTATGAGTGGGGCTTGTGTGCAGTAGCCCTGACATGTGCATGGCTCACCAGAGGGAAAGACATCTAAAAGGGCTGAGTTCTTATCCTGGCTTGGATATGTCTTGAGGGTAGATGCCAGATCCGACAAGTTAAGTGACTTAGTGTGCACTTAACTTTCTTGCTCTTGCCTGTGGGCAGCCTGAGACCCTTATATTGTAAAACAAGAGTCTT